AAACCCCCCCCGCCCCCCTCGGCCCCTGCCTCTCTCAGGGCGTCCAGTGTCTGAACAGGAGGAGGGAAACCCTCTCCTGCGCCCTGCACCTCCGGCCACTGCTGCTGCCCTGGGGCTTTGGGACCAGCCCTGCCTGCCAGGGGAGAGCGCCCCCTGCTGGACCCCTCCCTGCAGCACCAGCGCCCCCTAGTGCCCCACTGAGCCACTGGGGCCAGCCCTGCCTGCCCAAGGAGAGCGCCCCCTGCTGGACCCCTCCCTGCAGCACCAGCGCCCCCTAGTGCCCCACTGAGCCACTGGGGCCAGCCCTGCCTGCCCAAGGAGAGCGCCCCCTGCTGGACCCCTCCCTGCAGCACCAGCGCCCCCTAGTGCCCCACTGAGCCTTTGGGACCAGCCCTGCCATCCAGGGGAGAGCGCCCCCTGCTGGACCCCTCCCTGCAGCACCAGCGCCCCCTAGTGCCCCACTGAGCCTTTGGGACCAGCCCTGCCATCCAGGGGAGAGCGCCCCCTGCTGGACCCCTCCCTGCAGCACCAGCGCCCCCTAGTGCCCCACTGAGCCTTTGGGACCAGCCCTGCCATCCAGGGGAGAGCGCCCCCTGCTGGACCCCTCCCTGCAGCACAGCTGGTGTCTCCCCTAGCCCCTTGGGTCTGGGCTGTGACACTGTCTCACCATCTCACCTGTAGCTTTGGGCCTGGCTCCCTTGGGCCGGTCCCCTCCATCGCCTGCAGCTTCTGGCAGATCCTCTGCTGCGCAGCCCGCAGGAAGTGGAGAAGATGCTGCAGTGCAGACAGTGGGCTGTTAGCGGTGCCCACTCGGGGGCGTCAGTGCTCCCCAGGGCAACACCCTACAGAGGCCGTGGGACAAGGCTGAGGAACTGGGGTGCTGCCAGAGCTACCTCCCCAGCTTAGAACTGGGAATTCAGCTGCCCAAGTTGTCAGGGGAAGGGCCATGGGGTGGGAGATGGGAGATGAAGAATCCCAAACCCTGTTACAGGCTGGGGACCGACTGGCTAGGTAGCAGTTCTGCAGAAAAGGACCTGGGGGTTACAGTGGATGAGAAGCTGGGTATGAGTCAACAGGGCGCCCTTGTAGCCAAGAAGGCTAATGGCATATTAGGGTGCATTAAGAGGAGCATTGCCAGTAGATCCAGTCATTATTCCCCTTTATTCAGCTCTGGCGAGGCCACATCTGGAGTATTGTGTCCAGTTCTGGGGCCCCCACTACAGAAAGGATGTGGATACATTGGAGAGGGGCCAGCGGAGGGCGACCAAAACGATTAGGGGGCTGGAGCGTATGACCTATGAGAAGAGGCTGAGGGATTTGGATCTGTTGAGTCTGCAGAAGAGCAGAGTGAAGGGGGATTTGAGAGCAGCCTGCAACTTCCTGCAGGGAGGCTGGAGAGAGGCTGTTCTCAGTGGGGGCAGATGCAGAACAAGGAGCAATGGGCTCAAGTCGCAGTGGGGGAGGTTGAGGTTGGATATTAGGGAAAACTCTTATTTCCCTAGGCGGGTGGGAAGCGCTGGGCTGGGTTCCCGAGGGAGGGGTGGAATCTCCGTCCCTAGGGGTGTTTCAGTGCCGCCTTGACACAGCCCTGGCTGGGATGATTGAGTTGGGTGGGTCCTGCTTTGGGCAGGGGGCTGGACTCAATAGGTACGTCTACACTACAGGCTTTTGTCGACAGAAGTTTTGTCGACAAAGAGCGTCTAGACGACATCCAGCTCTGTTGACAAAGCCAGCCGCTTTGTCAACATGACAGTGTAGACGCAAAGGACAGTGTAGCTGCAATCACGCCTTCTGGAGACAGAACTCTGTTGACAAAAGGCGTTATTCCTCGTCGAATGAGGTTTACCGCCGTCCACAAAACTGCTGAGTTCTGTTGACGTTCTGTCGACAGCCCTCAGCGGCAGTGTAGATGCAGGTCTAGTGTTGTCGACAAAACCCTGTAGTCTAGACACACCCAATGACTCCTGAGGTCTCTGCCCACCCTGGGGTTCTCCGATTCTAGTGCGAAGGAGCAAGGAGGTGCTGTTACCTCTGCATCCAGGCTGCAGAGTGGCAGGGCTTGCAATGGGCACCGGGAACTGATCCACCCCCGGCCGGGTCGGGTGCTAGGACCCAGCCCTGAGCTCTTGCTAACCACAGTCAGAGCGAGCAGCATGTGGCGCAGTCCTGCAGCAGAGCCCAGCCTCCATGTGCCATGATGTAGACACATCCCCATGTTCTCTGTGCCGGAGCCAGCCCAGAGACCGGGTGAGGGGAGTCCAGGCCTGGGGGGCGCAGGACGGCTGCCAGACATCCTGGAGCTGGGTGTGGCTGATGGGGCGGTGGGGACACTTGCCTCTCGCATCTCCCCCTTGCACGGGCGGCTCAGCGCGGTCTCCAGGTCCCTCTGCAGCGTCTCCAGGTGCTGCCGGAAGCGCTCCTGGGGGGAGGAAGGGTGGGTGCAGGACCAGACAGAATTCCTGGGGTCGTGGTAAGAGCTTTACCCTCCCATCCTGTCCCCTCCCAGTTCCATAACCTGGGGATTAGGGGGTTAACTACGTCTCCAGGTATCTGCTCAGCCAATAGCAATGCAGGTAGGAATTTCAAACTGGGGCGAAGGAATTTTTATCTTTTCCCTCCTTTGTCTGAGTCAGAGCGGTTTCTTCCTGGTAACAGGGAGATGGGAGGCCATCTCTCTCCAAGAAAAGACGTCTCCCGATGTGTAAATAGGACAAAGTTTAGATAGTCCATCAGGATTTTGTTGTTTTCTGTTGTTGGAATTGAGGTCTGCGCGGTTAAAAGTTGGTTTTCTTTCTTTAAAAGTGTTTTTTCCCTCTTTTTTCCCACTAAGTTAGTCCAGGGAGGTTTCCCTGAGAATCTTTATCAACTGGTGGCTCTTTTTCATCAGCCATTTTATTATGCTTGTAACTGTAGTTTTGTTTTGATAATAAAAGACTGTTTTCTTTTTCCAATTAACTGATATTGGTTGATTTCTGTGTCTGGGAAGGTCTGTCTGGCTGTCTGACTGAGGGGGTCAGCTGGGCTTGTTTAGTTTGGAAAAAAGAAGATTAAGGGGGGACATGATAGCAGTTTTCAAATATCTAAAAGGGTGTCACAAGGAGGAAGGAGAAAATTTGTTCCTCTTGGTTTCTGAGGACAGGACAAGGAGTAATGGGCTTAAAGTGCAGCAGGGGAGGTTTAGATTGGACATTAGGAAAAAATTCCTAACTGTCAGGGTGGTCAAATATTGGAATAAATTGCCAAGGGAGGTGGTGGAATCTCCCTCTCTGGAGATATTTAAGAACAGGTTAGATAGACATCTCTCAGGGATGGTGTAGACGGAGCTTGGTCCTGCCTTGAGGGCGGGGGGCTGGACTCGATGACCTCTCGAGGTCCCTTCCAGTCCTAGGATTCTATGATTCTATGATCACAGACTGCAGCATGTTTTTTTCTTTTCTTTTTCAAACTATTTTAGGGGGGCGGGGACTGGACTCGAGGCCTCTTGGGGCCTGTTCCAGTGCTAGGATGCTGTGAGTCTCTTCTGGAAGGGCGGGCACCGGAGGGGCAGGGGGGCGGGGGGGGGGGCGGAGGGGGGGGGGAGTTTTGTACCAAAGCCCACAGAGACAAGGTTTTGGAGTGCTCTTGTGGGCCCCAACTACTGTATTTATCATGCCAGAGTGGGAAACAGCCTTGACAGCACCCTAAAGAGGCCCTCAGAGAAAGAGAAAGCCAATGCCAGGGCTCAGCAGACCTGTGTTTGGCTCCTACATCTGCCACAATTCAATGGCTGACTCTTGCAGCAGGTTTTCACAGGGCCAGCTCTATTCCACTCTTCCACCCCTTCCCCTCAAATATCATCTCCCCCTCCTTGGTCTTTGTACCTCTCCTGTCTTCTCCCTTTGGCTGGCTCAGAGTTTTATTCTTTTCCTCTTTCCTTATTACAGTCCAGGCCCTGCCACGCCCGTGTTTCACAGCACTAACATGGCCACCCCAGAATCCCATCTTCCCTGGAATAGGGTGACTGCTGAGGGGAAGCTGAAAGTGCAAGGTAATTTGGGACAGTCCGGCAGGGTAAGTCTATGCTGCAATTAGACATTACTGCTTGCCTGTGCCAGATGACGTCTGTTTGCAGGGCTTAGGCTAAAGAACAGTTTATTTATGGATCAAGGCAGCAGCTCCAGCTTTGGGGCCCTTCTACCTTGCAAAGTCCTAGACCTTGGCTTACGGTGTGGCTGAAGAGAGGTTGGTCCTTGGCATTAAGGGACAACTTGAGGCTGAAAAGGAAGCAGTTTTGCGAGCGTCTATTCCCAGCTTCTTTGCCAAGAACTGTGAACCGAACAGCAATGGAAAAGAGGAGACTGAGGGGGGATATGAGAGAGGTCTATAAAATCATGAGCGGTGTGGAGAAAGTGAATCAGGAAAAGTTATTTACTTGTTCCCATAATATAAGAGCTAGGGGCCACCAAATGAAATTAATGGGCAGCAGGTTTAAAACAAATCAAAGGACGTTCTTCTTCACACAGTGCACAGTCAACCTGTGGAACTCCTTGCCTGAGGAAGTTGGGAAGGCTAGGACTGTAACAGGGTTTAAAAGAGAACTAGATAAATTCATGGAGGTTAAGTCCATTAATGGCTATTAGCCAGGCTGGGTAAGGAATGGTGTCCCCAGCCTCTGTTTGTCAGAGGGTGGAGATGGATGGCAGGAGAGAGATCGCTTGATTATTACCTGTTCTATTCACTCCCTCTGGGACACCAGGCATTGGCCACTGTCAGTAGACAGGATACTGGGCTGGATGTACCTTTGATCTGACCCAGTATGGCCGTTCTTATGTTCTTATGGGAGTACTTAAAAACAACAAATTGTCTTGCAGCACCATGTAGATGGTATCATGAGCTTTCGGGGACACAGCCCACTTCTTCAGGTGACTGGAGTATTAGAAGTCCAGATCCAAGAATAAATAAGGGAAGGCAGAGGGAAAAGAGGGGGAGCAGGGGGGAAAAAGAGAAAAAAGCAGTGAATTAGACTGTTCAAGTTGCAAGATACTGATAAGAACAATTTGCACCTCTCTAAGTACCCCATTGTTGGTTGGTTGGTTGAAAACGAACCCATCAAAAGAGAGCCTTAGATCAGGAAACGAGCGCTTTGTTCATAGACTGTAATCAAAGGGTAGAGTGTAAGTTCCCGCATACCTTGACCATCAGAGAGCTCTGCAGCTAAACTGGTTTGGCTGGAGCTCTTTCAGTCCCCAAAGCAGTGGGAACATAAGACAGAGAAGGTGCCACTCCCAAAGACCAAGAGGAAAGAAACCTCTGAAATTGAGACTAGCTATTCAGTTACAAAACAATTTCAGGAATCAACCGGCGAAAGAAGCTGCAGAACTGGCCCTCATGTGCAAATTTGACACTATCTCCACATTTGATTTGATTCGATTTGATTCAGGGCTCTTGGGAGGACAGGACTGAGGAAGCATACAGCCGGTAGGGGAGTATATCACTTGTTTTTAGGAGAATTTACAGTTTCTGGTGAATGTAGTGCAAGAGAACCTTTAAAAAAAAGTCAGGAGTCTCAGAATATTTGGTATGATTGGCATGTTCTCTCTAACCAATTCATTCACGTGTCCCCCGTATTTATCCCCCATCATCGGTCATTTCATTCATCAGCAGGGGAATGTATTCCAAACCACATCCGCATATCCATCGCTTCATCTTCTGGGTGGCTTTTCTGTGGGAGCATCCCCCAGTATTAGGAGGCCCCCTTTTCAAGGCTAGAGCCCTGACCTATACTGGGTGGGCCCCTGTGAATGAATTGGTTAGAGAGAGCAGGGAAGAAACTCCCCTGAATCAGGCCTGGCCTTACCATGAGGCGAGCGGAGACCCCAGGGTGCTGCCCTGCCCCTACACGCACACACATGCCCAAGGCGGCGAGTTCCATGGGCCCGTGGCACCTGGACCTCAGAAATATTCCATGCCCAGGGCCTGCCTCCAGTCCCAGCTCCAACGTGGCTGCAGTTGTGGGAAAGTCTCCAAGTCTTGCAAAATCAGCCTAACATGGGATGCACCAGGGAGCACCCCTGCCCTGGCTGCCCACTGCCTGGCTTGTGGGGTGCCCCACGGCTGCAGGGCTAGCTAGGCCCTCCAAGCTCTCCTGAGGCCCCCTCCCCACTGCACTGAGCTCAGACCTGCACCACCCAGGCAGGGGGGGTTTCCCACTCCCTCCCGCCGCTTTACCTGCTGCCCCGGGGGCGCCGCCTCACTCGGCGTGCTGACTCGGGAGCGCTCG